CTGTAGAAGCTGGTATCTCCTTTGAAATTCCTAATCATTTTGACGCTATTATAGGGATTAGTAATATTAAAACAGGAGTACATGTCGAAGCTTTTACACAGATACTTTATCGAATTCGGGATTGTCCACAACGCATAATTTCTTTATATAATAGTAAAAGTCCTTCGAAATATTCCAAGAGCCAAATCGTAATCTTATTCTTGCAGGACTTTCTGCTTTAAGGCCTATTGATTTACCGACAGCAGTAAAAGGGCATCGGAAATGGGATAAAATTGCTGATTGTTATGCTTTTGATGCATCTTCAGCAGTTGAAACCTATATTGAGGCTGAATATCAGAGACGCTTATCAGCTAAGTACTTTCCTGAAATTCTCTGCAGTCTTGTTTCTAGTACAGGAGCTTCACTTGAGATTATTTCTGCAGAAGATACCATAGCTAATAGGAAAATAGTTTCTAATATTATTAAGACGATTGAAGAAAATATCAAATATTCTGATGCAGAATTAATAGCCAATGCACCTGATATCATTCCAGATGATGCATACGATCATTCAATGATAATATAATATTACAACGACATTATTTGTGGAGAATATATGCTTCAGGAGATATTGGAGGTAAGGATGATCATCGGAACTGGAGTATGGATGATGTCAAATGGATTAATCTCTGTAATACTAATTTTGTAAAAAAAATTAATAATTCTGAACCTTTAAGACATTTTAGAAGACTGGCTTATTTCTGAAGGCAAGGTTCAAATGCAATAAAAGCTTTAGAAAGGCTAAAAACTAAAGAAGTTATACAGTGGAAGGAATCGCACAATTCCTTAGATCCATCATCAAATGATTTACGAAAGGCATATTTATCTAAACAGTGGGAGGCAATACAAAAGCTTTTTCAAATACTAGGCTTTACAGGCATAGATGATAAGCGTATCCTTTTTGGTAGTATAGTATCAGAAACGTTTATGCAATCATGTGAAAGGTTTATAGAAATTCGAAATCAGTCTTTATTATTATTTGGGTTTAAGTCTCGTGCAAAAGCAACACCAGACCTTAAATCAGCTATAAAAGCAATTAATGCAATCACTGGAAATTGGTGTGACTATACAGTTAAAAGTAATTGGAAAAGAATAAGTCCTAAAGAACAGCGGGTTTGGGAATATTCATACAAAATTAATTGCCAGCCATATAATGGTACTGGTTTTGGAGATAAAGGTACTCCAGAACTTCCACCATATAAGCTAAAAACAGATAACGAGATTCAGGAACTCTTTGATTCTATAGGGTAGGAAAAATAG